TGTGTCACACTGACTTGGAACTAGCTGAGTGTGGACTGAAGCCTCCAGTAGCTGTGAGCTAAATAAACCTTCCTTCCTTCATTTTGAGGGTCAGGTATTTGTCCCAGGAACAAGAGAAGAGTAACTGAGATACAGGGCTGAACCAAGATTTTATTAATTTGTGGAGAGGGGAGTGGCTTGAGGATGAGAGAATATGAGAATGGTGGGAAGTAGTGAATGCTGTGAGCTGGGCCAGGTAGGAGGCCTGCATTCACCTCTCCAATATGCAGAGAGAAGGATATGCGGAAAGAGTCATCTACATAACACAGTTGAGGTAGTATGTGATGTTTTGTGCTTCAGCTCTGATGTGTAATCTTTTATACCCTGGAAGTCATAGCCTCCATCCCGAGGCTCATCCCAGCCCATGGGGCACCCTGCCTCCTACCCCAGCTCATGCATGTTTTTCTGGTAGCTAGGGGGTCATGAAAACACTGACCTGTCACCTTGCTTCAAAGACTACACATCATTTGCGTTGCTTAAAGTCAATGGAAGGGATCAGAACAAGCCCTAGGCAGCTATGTACCTATCAATACATAGAAATAGGGCTAGGTTTAGCTAAAATAGAGATAATTACGTTTCTTTCAAGCAATCATCCACATGGTCCTCCACAGATAAAGATGAATAAAAGTGATTAGATCCATGTGTGCTGCCCGTTGGGACAGTCAAGAATGTTCCACCAGTGGTTCAAGCTGGAGGAAGCATGTTAAATGAATGTATCTGTATTCCAATAAAGCTTTGTTTATGGATGCTAAAATTTAAATTTTATCTAATTTTCACATGGCTTGAAATATGAGTCTTCTTTTGAATAATTTCCTTTTTGATCCATTAAAAAGTATAAAACTTTTAGCTTATAGGCTAAAGTGAAACAAATAGTTGACCAGACATGACCTATTGGTCATATTTGTTATCAGTCCCTGATAGCTGAGTTGGTGGAAGCTGTTGCTCTCTGAAGATGATCTGTTTCTGAGGTTTCCTTCAGACTCCTTAGTTTGCAGTCTCTTGATAAAATGACATATTGGGTCAGAGAGTGAAACCTTGTACCTGTTCCACTAGGAGCCGTGACTCCAAGGCCCAGTACCCTGCACTTTAGCTTCTGTGCTATCAAAGTCCCTGATTGAATTATTTCCAACATGACTTCAGGGTGTTTTGTTTCCTCTTGGGGTCATTCACAGCAGACGTTGCCCTTGAGTTTTAGGTTATGTAGAGGAAATGCAGTGTATTTATTGGTGAGATGGAAGCATGTTGCATGTCTGAAGTAAGGAAGTGCCCCCAACAGAGGAGAAGGGCAGCCTCTACCCAGTGTGCCTGGTGGACACCAGTGAGCGTAGGGAGGAGTGACTATTATAGTATTATGGAGCAGAGGTGATAGAAAAGGAACATACATTAGCTCCTTCTACTTTGCCTTAAGGTTGAAGATGGTGAGGGCAATGAACCTGTCAATAAATGACAAGGTTGCAAAATCTCTAATAACAGTCCTCATAATGTGAGAGCCTCTGTCTCTGAAGATCCTCAGATTGGGAACATAACTTCAAATATTTTTCTAAAATCTCAGAATTACAGTGCTGTACAAGTTTCACCTAATTCTGAGAACAAAGCAGTGATGACAGCACATTCAGAACACACTACAGAAGTCAGTTTTAGGAAATTCATCTGCAGGAATGTTGAGGTTTGTATTTATAAGAACAACTGTTATTAGGGTGGTTCTGGTAACAGATGAGATGTATGCCAGGGCCATCAGCAATCTTAGAAAAACTTCAGTGCTAATTGAGTAGTTTTTAGTCTGTCCTTGTTTCTGATGGGTGACCACATGTAAAATTTTTGTGAAGTCCCCAGAGGTCCTCTGGTGCCAGCAAGTGTCTTATCCTGAAAGAGATTTCCTTTGGTAACTTACCATCGTGGTTTAGTTTGGTTTGGTTTGGTTTGATCTGAGTTGATTTGGTTTGGTTTTACCCCCAGAATCTGGAGCCAGTACTGGGCTTTTCAAAGTAACATTTCCAGACTCTGAAGTTTTGATTCTTGGGGTATGGTGGGTTCCAGGCCCGTGAACATGGAGATTCTTTGGGACACTCCTTTTGTCCTTCATGTTACCCCTTTTAGTGTGGATTCAAAATACCCCTTTAGGAAGAACAGGAGCACTGAAAGTTGTTGGCCATTTGGGATTATAATTCACGCTGAGCTCAGAAGCCTTCCTTGTTTCTACAGTACCTCAAAACAATGGGCATCTCAATAGCTGCTGTCATGTTCACCTTTTATTTCTCAACAGTGAACAGGTTTTGCCAAATAGTGTGACTTCTTTGATCTGGGCAGATTTTGCTTCTCCTAACGAATCAATGTAGGCATCAGTTGAGACTTCTGCATTATATCCAAGCCTATTGTTTTTTCTTGTTCAGTATCAAAAAATGACCTATCATCAGACAAGATTCAGCCTACACTTACTCTGTAGGGAATGTCTAAGAACTGTGCCAAAGCCAGTGCTCAAAACCTAGATTATCATGAATTTCCCCTTCTTTTGATAACAGGGAAAATATCAGACTTTACAGAAGTTTCTGTATGGGCAACATTTGTCAGAAGTGGAGATCAAAGAGAGTTATTTTATATAGGAAGTTGCTGATAGATTTCTAGAAAGAAAGGTCACCGGGCACCCCTTTAATATCTCTCCTACATTAGTATATATGATCTTTTTTATTAAGGTATGAAACATTTAACTGTTTTCCATTGAGATCCTTACATGTATTGTACATAAGGTGAATTCTATGTATATAGTCACACATAAGATGAATAATACATATGTAAAAGTGAATCCCAGCACTCTGGGAAGTTGAGGCAGGAGGATCACAAGTTTGATTCCATCCTGGGAAAGTTGGTTCCTTAGCAAGAGATTGTATCTCAAAAATAAATAGGACTAGGCTATAGCTCACAGTGAAGGTACTAGATTCAATCCCTGGTGCTGCAAAAAAGGTACAATAAATAGTATATGCATAATTACAAGGTATGGCATCTTAGAGGAAAAAGCAGTATTTCTGCCTTGAGGACCTGACAGTAACATTCTCAAGCCGTAGCAGGATGAGCCATAGACAGTGTGACACCCTATCTGAGCAGCTCACTGACTCTGAGAAAGAGGCCTCAAATATTTAGAAACATTTTTTTTCTGTAAGTTTGAGGATAAAATGAAAAATTGGGTGTATCATTCCCATGAGCCAGTCATTGGTGTGCCTGATGCTTTTTTTGCTTTTATAGTCTTGGTTAGAGCTGAGATGTTATTTCTCCAGTGTCCTGCCTGCTTACACACACCTACAGCTCGCTTTACCAAGGCGCTCCCTCTTCCTGCCTCCTAACTGCAGTAGAAGCCTTTAGTTGTTTTAACGTGATGTCAGCAGGTTATTATTGGCTTTTTTATTCTAAGCCTTTTGAAGATCTAGATTTGGGACTCCAGTTATATAGAGTTAATTTCCGTTCTAATTTCTGCTACATATTAAATCCTCTACTTTTTGATCCAATGCCATTCACTAAAAAGAGAGCTGGAGGTAAATTTTTTGGTCTGTCCTCAAAGAACTCATTCCTGAAGTCTCTAGGACCAGCTCATTCTTTCCTTCTTTGGTGGACGGATTAGCATCAAGTCTACTTTACTTTCATAGGAGAAATTTTGGATTTAGCTTCTGAGAGATTTTGTCCAACACTTAATGGCATTTCTAAATCCGTTTCCTATGCAGTTGGAGATTTTTCTAAGCTATTCTTGGAATTTTCTCATTTTGCGTTTCTCATCTTTTGATTAGAGAAGGCGAGCCAATTGATATAGATCTGGGAACAGACAGTATTATTTTTAAAGTTAGCTATAGGACCAAAAATATTTTCAGGTAATTATCAACTTCTGAAAACAGAATTTAAAAAAAGTAATGACATACTGTTTAACTCAGTATGGAATAATAACTATATAGTCACAGTATTGTAATACTGGTTGTTGGCCTCCGGAGTCACAAAAAGGAGAGCTGGAGGAGAGCTGTTTAACTCTGTAAAAAGACGAGCAAGAAAAGATTTAGAGTACTGGCGATATAAGAAAACTAAATGTACAGTACAAAGGAGTGCAACAGATAAACTGTAAAGTTTTTTACTTTGGTTTCCTAGTACATGTATGTAGTGCACAATGTTTACATTCCTTGCAGGAGGTTGGTACGTGCACATAATCACCCCAGTTTCTCTTTTGTCATCCCTTTTCCCTTCATTACTTCCCATCCATCTTTTCATCTCCTTCCTCACTAAGAAGAAGGTATCTTTTTTTGTATTATCTATTTTTTATTTTGCTGTTTAGTTTTAACCTGTGTTTCTCATATTAAAGAATCCATGTTATATTTAAGCTTGTGTGTCTGATTGATTTCACTTAACATTATGATCTCAAGATGCAGGGGGCCAGTTTCCCACAATTGAGTCAAGTCTGTATCCCTCTTTATGAAAGAGTACTACCTGGTGTAGTCCCCCTAACTACTGGGCATGGTGGTGTTCACCCATAATCCCAGTCCTTGGGAGGCTGAAAACAGGAGGGTCACTATGAGTCCAGTTTGCATAGTGAGACCCTGGAGACCCTGTGCAAAATACATTTAAAAAATATTCTTAATTTTAACACTTTTGGTTAAAAGATATTTTCTTATAGAAAGCTTTTAAAGATTAAGAAAAAAATTATGGTGCTGGAGATTGAACCCAGAGCTTCACTCATGCTGGACAAGTGCTCTGCCAGGCCCTGGAGTCTAAAAGTATAAACGACAATGTAATACTTGCCATGAAGAAGCAACTAGAGAAAGAACATTCATATGATTTTATGAAAAAAATCATAAAATTGTTTTTAAAGTTGTTTTTCAAGAGCATATAGCACAAAAAAGCACATTTAACTTATTTTAGTTGTGAGCCTGAGATTTAAAACTAAAAATGTTGCTAAAATTTACTTTAACTTCTTGTAATTTTGAAAATAGGAAACTCTTCAAAATGAAAAGGAAGCATTAGTAAAGCAGCACAGAGAAGCAATGGAAGTTTTAAAAAAACAGGTAATTTCACAAGGTACAGATTTAAATGCTGCGTTTCTTCCCCCTCCCATGAATATTATGATAAGGTGTTTTCTGTACTCAGTAGGCAAATAAAAAAGGGTTATTAAGAAATAGAAAATAAGTTATTTTGAATTATAACCAACAAAATGATAAAGGAAATTTGAAGCACAATTTTCTTCTTGATGGAGAAGATGTGTTCTGTTCTCACTGGCATAAATAACTCAAGTGAGTGAAATGTATGTATTCTTGTTCTTTCTCTATTCCTTCTTCTCTTAGAATAAACTAGGACCTTGCCTTTTCCACATTACACCATTACCAAAATCATAGTCTCGTGTGGAGCCGAGACACATATAGGGAGATATAGAGGCTAAGGAGGGGATTGTCACATACACCTCTGTAAAGGTCAACCACTAGTAGAAAATTTTTAAAAGATTTGAAAAAATGACTAGTAACACTTTAAGGTCATTTGAGCTCTGAGGAGCTCTTCTTATTGCCTCAAGTTTCTCTTCAGTCTCTGGTTAGATAATACTAGTTTAGGAAAATGTGCTCATGTAAAATATCCTGTGGAAATATTTCTCTTTTATTCCATTGTCCTCATTTTTTCTGCCTTTCTTTCCCACTTTGTTGTATTCGTCTCCATATGTGTGTGTTTAAAAGAAAAAATGCAGCTAAAGATTTAATCTATGCAAACTATATCACTCCTGTGTTAAGGTTATTGATAATTAAAGTTTAAGTGTGAATTTGCTTCAACAAATGGCAGACTATCTTCCTTTAACCAAAGTTATGAGAGTTTTAATGAAAAGGTAAGGAACCGGAAGCCAAAAGTGGAGTACACTGTCTAGGAGAAAAAAGTCTATGCTTCTGCTATCATAAAAGATTTGGAGCAAGAATATGAAGATATGTGAAAGTGTGAGGAAAATGCACTCAGGGTCTTCTTTTCATTTTGGCAGTGCTAGGTGTATCAGTTAGGGTTCACTTGAGAAGCAGATTTTACAAATAGATAGATAGATAGATAGATAGATAGATAGATAGATAGATAGATAGATAGATAATTTGCAGGGTAGACTTATAATAGCCACCTGCAGAATCAGGTATGGGAGAATGCAAAGGTTGGTCTGCATGCTGGAGAGCCAGAAGGTTCAGCCAGAAGTTAGCAGGCTGGAGCTCACTGCTGAGTCCACTATGAGTCCGTAACAAGACACTGAAAGTTCTGTTCTGGAAGCTTGAGATAGGCATCCAAAGGTGATGCTAGAGACTAGGGATCCTCTGAAGAAGCAGAAGCAAAACTTCTTCTTTCCCTTTTATCCCATCCAAGCCACAAGCCTACTGGTTGGTGCCACTCAAAGGCAGAGTTTCTTGTCTTCAGTAAGTTATCGACACACCCAGCACAGTGCTAAGCCAATCTGGAAGGTGTTTCTTATTCAATTTGGCACCACAATTAACTGTCACATGGGCACCAAAGCTGGAGCCTTGCAACATGCTATGCAAGCACTCTACTCCTGAACTACGCCCTTACCTCTGTGGTTTTTTATACTGGGAATTGAACTCAGGACCTTGTGGCTTGCCAGGTAGGCACTGTGTCACTGAGCTGTATCCCTGGCCTCTCTATGTTAGTTTTAAATAAAGCATTTCAGAAGACACAGATAGGTCAACTTCATTGGATTAAGAATGTCTAGGGGGACTATTGGACTATATTGGGATATTTTGCTGAATTCATGCACCTACAGTATTTAAATGACAATGGAATGCCCTCTGACAAAACTAACCATAAAAGGGGGATACAAATGAATGACCATTTTGTATCTGTATACTCAAAATAGTTAAGATAGATATACAGCTCCATTCTCTTAATTCAATGAATAGAGAGGTTTGTTCTTCCAGTGCTTGAGACAGGATATCAGGTCTGTGTCTTGTACAATGAATAACCACTAAGACAACAATATGCAATGTACTAATTATTGAAAAGGTACTAGTAATCGGTTGTGAAACTGTCTCATTGCTATTTGTTTCTCAATAAAATATTTCTAAAAAAGAATGTCTAGTAAATGAGACATTAGTGTCCAAGCAGTGCATGGAAGTATTACCTTGGGTACTGTATGGGTTCTAGCTCCTTGTTCTCTGGCATTGTTACCCTCGTTTGCTTCCCAGATGCCATAAACTAAGAAGCCCTTCTACCATGATGTTCTAGCCTGAGGGACAATTCACAATGGACTGAACTCCCCCAAACCATGAGCCAAATTAAACCTGTCCTCCATTAGATTGTGGGTGTTAGCTATTGTGTCTTAGCAACAAGAAAGCTGACTAATATAAAAAAAATGGTACTATAGTAATTGGCTGATTGCTCTGATTGTACCTAGTCACGTAGTTTCAAATCTTTTAGAACTAGTTTATTTAAAAAGTTCAGAAAGATTCAGAGATACAGACTAGAGAAGCCAAAGAATGCTATAAGCCTATAAACAGACCTTATGGGTGATCCTGATTGGAGCTCAGAAGAATAGAATGTTGATAGGAATGTGAAGAGTAAAGTCCAAGCTAAGTAGGTTTCACTTGGAATAAAGGCTCGCATAGGCAGTTAAACTAGCAGCCATGCATATGACATTCTGGCAGAAAAATTGTCTACATTTTGTCCATGTCCTGAGACTTTACAGAGCACTGAAATTAAGGGTCACAGACGAAATAATCTGATGGAAGAAATTTCAAGACAACTCAACATTCAAGCTATGGCATAAGTGTTGCCGGCTACTTTAGGCAGTTATACTAAGAGATTAGCACTATTAGAAAGGAATGAAGTGTTCTGTAAATGGATGAGCTCAAAGGTGTCTCAAAAATTTGCAAGACCCTACTCATCACAGACTCAAAGATGCAAAAGTATAAACCTTTCCTTTGAAAAGATTGTCCCTGGGCTTCCTTCTAGGTAGAGCTTCCTTACAATTTGGTTCCCGATACCCATTTAATTGTTCTCCAGCATTCATTTCATCTAGGCACAAAGGCTACTGATAAATTGACCATTACTCAGGGGACCTGGCTGTTGTTCAGTGTGGCAGCATATGTTGGGGCTATTCATATGATGCTGGTTTTATCAGTATGCAGAATGCAAGAGTTGTAGGGCCACAAAAGCTTCCACCCAGAAGTCAAAGAAAGGCCTGAGAGGCCAGGCAACGAGTCCCTGACAGAGCAGTGAGGAGCTGTGAGAATGAAGCTAAAGGTGCAGTGGAGACCCAGGAAGAAGAGGTGCCATAAATATGGAACATCTACCAAGGAAAGATGGAGGTTGTGAGTAGAGCTAGCTTGAAAAAGAGGCCATATGGATTGCAGTTAGCAATTCCATACAGGTATGGTTGCCTAAACTCCCTGAAACTCACATCTCACCACCATGCACCCTGAGTCCCAGATAAGGAGCTACAGGACTTAATGTGTGACCTGTTGGATTTCAGTCTTGCTTTGGTGCAACTCTTTTCTATCCTCTTCCTGACTTTTGGGATGGAAATGTTTGCCCTGTGCCATTGTAACTCATTTTTAATTTTTATACAGGTTCACAGCTAAGAGTTTGTCTTAAATTTTAGGAGACATTTGTGCATGTACTTTGGAAAAATGCTAGAACTGTTGAGACTTTGGAGTTCCATTTGTAGGCCGGATAATTGTATTATGTTGGGCAGAATTATTAATTTATTGTGTCGGAAATTAATGTAGTTTAAGGGGACTTTTTTGGGTATGAAGTTGGTGGGGGTAGAATGTGCTGTTACTCCTAGCATGTCAACTTTATTGGATTCAGGAACATGTCATGGATTAGATGAATCTGGGTGGGTTGTGGAGGGTGACCTTGGGTATTGTGAATGGTCCCTGGCCGTCCTGTCTGGCACTGTCCCGTGCTCTGCTTCCCTGCCACCAAACAGAACGACTCTGCTCCTCCATACCTTCTGCAGGATGTTCCCACCTGGGGCCAGCCATCCTGAGCTAGAACCTCTGAAGGCATGAGCCAAATTAAACCTCTCATCCTGTCAGTTGTGGGCTTTACGTGTTGTGTCTCTGTGATAGAAAAGTTGACTGTGACAACTGAGAAGGACAGAGGGACAGGTCAAAAAAATTTTTCGCATCTTGTCAATTTTGCTAATATCCTAGAACTGCTTATTTTATGATTTTCCTTTGGTGTGTGCACTGTAGGTTTCCTGTTGTAAAGTGTCACAGTTTCAGAAGGTTATTTCACTGTCATGTGCATTTGCATTCCTTTCAATATATAAATACTCTGCAAATACAAATGGTGCTAATTTCATACATTTCTACCTTTTGAGTGTGATACCCAAGCTGTACACTATCATTTAACAGTATGATAAAATACTCAGATACTTAAGATAACTTATGGAAAGGAACATGAAACTTTAAGGAACTACTAGTGTCTCTAATGGTAATTAAATTGTTCATTGATGTTGCTGACTGGTATTTCCCCCCTTTTATATCCTCATTTTATCTTCTGAATGTAGAAGTATTAAATTCAACCTGTGGAAATATAAAATGTGTCTCATTTTACTGACCATTGTAAATCACTAACAGTTTATTCTATCTGTGTTTTTCTTTTAAAAATTATCAGTTGCAAATGAAGATGTATGCCTTAGAAGAAGAAAAGGTATTTATTACTTTTAAATTTAAAGTATGCATAAATGAACTTCATTATTTACTATAATAGAAAAGAACAAATGAAATAACAAATGAAAATGTTGATTGCTTAAAATCTCAGAAACAGAAAAGATCTAAGGTAATTATGTTATTTGGTCTCTGTTATTTTATAGTACAGGCTATATTACCAAGGCCTAACAAATTTAAATGACTTGCTATGACAGGTTGGGACTAGCACCAAGATTTTGTTCAGCTCCCAAATTAATGTTTTTTCTATTCTAGTATGATATTTTTATTAAATATGATATATTCTAATACTTTTTGTTGTAACTGCCTTTAAAACACTAAAATGACTTATATCTGGCTTACCAATTGGGATAGAACATATGTCTCCCAACAAACCTAGAAATTTATCTGGAACTGAATATTTTCATAGCTTGTTATTTTTAGCAAAAAGTCTTATTAAAAAGTTGTCCTCTATCCTTCTGTTGTTATACCAATGCACTCATGTCTTATCAGTTGGAATATAGTTGGACTTCTGAATCTCTGGGTTTCATATTTGTGGGTTCAACCAACTGATTGCTGACAATATTAGGGAAGAAAAGGTTCATGTGTACTGGATATGCACAGCTTTTCTTCCTGCTACCATTGTGTGAACAATGTACCATGACAACTGTGAACATAGTATCCATAGTGTCTGGTATTATAAGATACTATAAGTAATCTAGAAATGATTTAAGATATGTGGGCAGGTATGTGTAGGTTATATGCAAATACTATGCCATTATATATAATCAGACTTAAGCATATTCAGATTTTGATATTCATGAGTGTCTTGGAAGGAATTACTTGCACATTCTTGGAAGTGAGTATGATTCTAGCTTTTAAGAATTAAGTGACTATGGGGCTAGGGAGATGGTTCAGAGGAATAAGCGCTTCCCTGGCAAATGCAAGGGCCTGAGTTCAATCCCTGGTTCCACCAAAAAGAAAAAGAAATAAAATAAAGAATTAAGTGACTGTGTAGTGCCTATAAAGTCTCCTATGAATGCTCTACTGAAAAAATGATTTGTCATTATATTTCATTTCTTGATAATTATAATTATATAAAGGCCTTATTGTAACTTGTGATATTTTGAAGCCATTAGAAATGTAGTTTGTTTGTAGGTACAAGCTGCTGAAGCATAAGCCTGAAGTAGAGACTTTAGTTCTTGAGCTCTTAAATTTTCTTTTATTCTTCATGCATTAGAAAGTACTAAGCCACTGTCTTTTATTTAAAGGGAAAATATCAACTTGCTACAGAAATAAAAGAAAAAGAAATAGAAGGATTGAAAGAAACATTAAAAGAGTTACAGGTAATATAATTTAGAATTACTTAAAAAGTAATTCCTTCAAAAATGCAGTTTGCAACTATAGCATATCAATAAACACTATTAAATATGTAAGCTAGCAAAGCAGAGCTGACAAAAACTCATGTGTGGTACATTACATGATTTAGTAGATTTTTCTGTGAACCTTAAATTGCAAATTAAGATTTTTTATTTATATTTTATTTAAAATTATTTAAGTAACTTTTATTATTTTTAAATAATAATTTAATTATAGTCCTTAACACTTTACATATGAAGAAAACAAATAAGGTTTATATAGTATAATTTATTTATACATGGTCTTTAAAAGTCAAAACCAAACAAAAAATTACTTGGGTGGGAACTGGAGAGACGGCTCAGCGGTCTAAGCAACTACCTGGCAAGCACAAGGATCTGAGTTCCATCCCCGATACCACATGCTGGGTGTACCTTGCTGGTCACCAAAACAGGTCTGGTGGTTCATGCCTGTAATCCCAATGGGAAAGGGGATTGCACATGCCTGTAATCACCAGACTGGGGAGGCTGAGATAGGAGGATCACTACAAGTCCAAGCTGCATAGCAAGACCCTGTACCAGATAAATAAATAAGTAAATAAATGATTTTTAAAAGAATATTTTAGCTGGATGTGGTGGCACATGCCTGTAATCCCAACACAAAGAGGGTGGGGCAGGAGGATCACTGTGAGTTTGAGGCCATCCTGGGCTACACAGTGAATTCTAAGCCAGCCTTGACTGTATAGCAAGACCCTGTCTATAAATAAATAAATAAATAAATAGAGACAAAAACAGTGACAAGGGGCACAGAGGTAGCTCAGTGGCACAAGGACCTGCCTCATAAACACAAGGCCCTGAGTTTGATCCCTGGCACCACGATAGATAGATAGATAGATAGATAGATAGATAGATAGATAGATAGATAGATCAACGATAGAAAATTAAGATATCATTGTTGAATCTTTGCTTTGGGCAAGGTATTGTGCTTATTTTCTGCAAATACAAAGACTAAGAAAACTACCTTTGGTCTTAACTTGTTCAGTCTCATAGCAGACACAGAAGTGCTCTGCTAACGAGGCCTCACTTGTTATATATTTGTTAAGCCAGCACTTTCTTCAGCACTGAAAACACAACAGTGAGTAAAACAGACACCTCTGCCCTTGAGGAGCATATGAAAAAATAGGATGAAGTAAAGATTGTCAGGGAAGAAGATACGCTTATCGTTTCAAAGTATTATTCTTAGGTAACATTAAATACAGAGCAA